TATATCTATATTATTAGTATCCTCGGATTCGGTACTTATAGATTAACGCCGTCCTAAACGTTTCCTACGTTACTCTTCTATTTAATACTATAACTTCGTTAACTATCTTCTAGAATCTTATTCTAATTATCGTATAGTTATCTATATTTATAAGTACCGTTTCTTTTTCGAAATCGACTATTATTATAGCTAGGGTTTCCTAGACCTTCTATTCCTATTTTCGAGGCTTTATACTTCCTCTATCCTTATATAGAAACTACTATTTTTCGGTCTTTAAAGCTAAATAGAGTTAGTAGTCGTCTTCGTAGTAGAAATACTATAATTCTTAAGCGTATCTTACGATATTTCTCCTCGTATTATATATTACTTCGCTCTACTATTCTCCCTTTAGAAGTTCGTCGAACTTTTCTTTCTTCTAAGTCTTACGCTTAGATCCTTTAGGCTTCTTAGTCTAATACTTTAACTAGAATTCCTCTTCTAATAGCTTAGTATCTAACTTACCTAACTCTCGGGGGTTATCCGATTTCTAGTAGTCCTTCTACGCTAGTTTACTCTTACTCTCGATAGGTCCTTAGGTCTCTTTAATAGTATCGACCTTTTTCGCTATTAAGCCGTCTATACTACCGCTCTATATATTTATTATATATAGTCCTCGAGCGCTTTTCTTTTCTAGATAATCGCGTATATAGTATCCGGACTTACTATATCTATAGTATAGATTTTCCTTTCTTTATCTTTCCTTTTCTCGATCTCGTCCTTCTATAACCTTTCGCCCTATATTCCGGCCTCTATCTAGGCCTATTCGTCGGGCGTTATAACGTTCTATAGCGTCTAGGTCTATAGGGTCTCCGTAGTCTCGTAGGCGTTCCGTATTAGCTCGCGAAGAATATCGATACTCTCGGTACCCTCGCTTTCCTAAGCCTCTTCCTTAATTATCTTCTATATATAACTCGTATAGTCGATTATTAAGTTTAATAGCCTTTTCTACTATATCTTTATAGGTTTCTAGGCGCTCTATTATTTCCTTCCTAACTTTCTTCTTTAATCTATTATAGAACGTATCCCTAAAGATATTATCGTTCGTATACTCTAGTTCCTTTACTAGCTTTTTAAATTCCGAATAATAATTAGCTATAGATTCTACTTATTTAAGGATATAGATAGTACGAGAAGCTACCGTAGCTTTATTAACCGTACTATAGATCTATTTAATTATTATTTCGAACTACGTAAAGTTCCTAAAGTATACCTTAGTTTCGTCGTCGGGGTTAAAGGACTCGAGGTAGTCGTCCTATACTAGTTTAAACTAATAGAACGCCGCCCCCTTAAGGTGTATTACTACGAATATAACCTTATCCTCTACTTTAGTATACTTAGCTAGATTAAGCTTAAAGGTAGTCTTAAGTTATGTAAGGAAGTATCCTAGCTTCTCCCTATTCCTATAGAATAGTTCTACCTTAATACTGTCTCGAGATATATTAGTAAATCCTAGTACGTTAACTATATCTACGTCGGAGTCTTCGTCGGAACTACTATCTTAAACGATATTAGTCTTTAAAGAATTATTTAAGGCTGTAAGTAGACGTACGCTAGATAGTAGGGATCTAAGTCGAGATAATCCTACGTTAGATATCTAATACTAATTAAGTAGTAGTTAAAGTGTTATAATCCGAGCTATAAGTAGTTCTAACTAAGGTAGGGTTCCTTAATAGAGTGGGTACTAGAGTGCTAACTAAGATAATAAAGGGAATACTTATTCGTCGGACTATATCCTAAAATGTAGGTATAGGATTACTAACGAAGTTAACTACGAACTATTCTATCTAGGTAAGGGAGTATGTATATATAATGCTCTAAATGTTGCTTTAGTGTATTGGTGCATTGCTCCAATGCGGCAATGCACTAATGCACTCCCTGGTCACGTGATGCAGCCTCGTTCTCTATCGGCTGACCTTCCTTAAACTGTCCCTTAGAACGTGGGGCGCCTGTCCTGGCGACCTCATTCATGACCTGGTCCGTAACACTAGTATACTATTAGTAGGGAAAAATTAGAGAACTAACTATAGGACTTATTAAGGGGGGGAGTCTTAAGGAATAAGAAATATAAAAAAAAAAGAAGAAGAAAAATAGGGTAAAGGAAGGTTAATATACTCCTTACCTAGAGACTAATCGCTAAGACCTTAACGAAGATTAAATAGCGAGAACTAAATAATTAAAAAGTTTAGCCTTATAGGTATAGCTTACTATATATACTATACTAGAGTATAAGAAGTACGCGAAGTCTCGCTAGAATTAAGTAAATTAAAGTAAATACGAAATAATTCCTAAGAGTAGGATAAGTTAGGATTAGGAGCGACCCTAAGATTAAGGAAACGTATTACGTTTTTTCTAATATTAATATAGAACGTATATAGCGCTATACTAGAACGCTACTTCTTACCTACTACTTCTATACTCGAGGACGAGTATACTTCGGGAGAAGAGAGTAATTATTACGAAATAGGACTACGATAGACCCTAGAAGTACTTATTCTATACTAAGACTAGTCCTAAAATACTAAGGAGCCTAGTATATAAGACCTTAGGGGCTATACGGATCGTATACGAGGTTTTTAGACTCCTTAAGTTCTTATAGTCGATGTTCTAAGGACTATATAGTAATTAATCGATTATCTTAGTGTTCTCGTTAAGTTACTTATACTCTTATAGTAAGTCTATAGTCTATACTAATATTATATATATACGCTTCTTTACTTAGATAGTATAGTTCGTAGTTAACTTCGTTAGTAATTCTATATCTATATTTAGGATATAGTTCGACGATTAATATTCCCTTATCGTCCTAGTTAATACTCTTATATCCGCTCTATTAAGGAATCCTACCTTAGTTAGAACTACTTATAGCTCGGATTATAATACTCGACTTCTTTAGTAGGCCACTTATCGTTATCCTTATAGGAGACTTCTACTAGTTCTTATTCGTTAGAAGCCTAGCGCTATAGAAGAAGCTAAGAATTAGGAACGACGAAGACGCGAATAGACGAATTATCTAGTACTAGTTTACTAACGTTATCGTCCTAGACTAGTAGATTAAATAGATAGAGCGGCTATATTAACGGAAGATAACCTAGCGTTATTAAATAGTAAGACAATAACGTCCCTCCTTACACCGGATTTAGAAAACGTAACTACTATTATTAAGCTTGATATTCTTCGTTACTACGTTAATCGCCTTTAAATAGAATACTTTACCCGGACCCGATCCTAGAGGATTTACGTCTTCCTAGCGGTGTACCGCCGGATTAGGACTACGGTCCGTCTCGTCTATACGTAGAGGACTTACTACGATAAACTAACTAAGATACTAGGATCCCCTTCCCGGGACTTTTTCTTTACACCCTATAGATACTAGCTATACTCCTTTTTAACATTTATACTACCCTCGGATAGGTAAATAGTGCGCGTAGTATTACCTTAGGTATTATTATTAATCTAACTAGTATATTTCTCTACTATTAATAATAGAGTACGCGACTAATTATACGCCTACTAGCGGAATTCTTCGAGATAGATAGTCTATACATCTAATATATAAAACCTCTAGCGTATATTTTATTCTAGCGAGATAATTTAGCGTACTCTAAGTTCGACGGCCTCGATACTAAGATTACCCCCATTTTCCCACTAGAAAGATCTATTACAATTAAGGGATACTCCGTACGAAGGAGATAGGTGCTAATGTACCCTATATTTAGCTTTATAGACTATAAAGTATAAGGGTCGACACTTACGACTACGGTTCTTAATCTTAAGTACGACTCCGCGGCTAGAGGCCAAGACGGCTACAAGAAATACTACTCGATATATATATAGCTATTACGACTCCGATTATTAGATAGACTCCATCTTCTATAAAGAATTAAAATAGAGGACCTCCGATTCCGCCCTAATAATCGACTACTAATAGAAATGTAAAGGCTAAAGGTACTTAAGCGGAAAACAATAGCCGGGTGGGGTGTGTCAGCGATAGCCTAATTTAACACTATACCGTTATATCCAATATATATTATTAACCTTCTACGTTAAAATCGCCTACTATACCGTTACTAATAACTAATCTATTATTAACCGTACTACGTAATTCGCCCCTTTATCTTACACTTCTCTATTTATATTAGCCTCATATTTCAGGCCATAACTTTCTCCTGCCAACAACGCTAGCTTTCTACCTTCTCCCTATTAAAAAGCTTAAAGTTACTAGAAACTAGAAACTATAGGTTATGACGTTCGCGATAATTTAATACTCCTTTCGCCACCTCTAACCCCCCCGTTTCAGGGCGTCGGCGTACGGAGCGCGCGTTACTAGTATATTACTTAGCCTAAATTGAGCCTAATAATTCTTTTCTGGCCTAACAGTTTATAGTTAACTTTATTAGTAATCCTATATCTATATTTAGGATATAGTCCAATAAATATATTCCCTTAGTTATTACTATATTAAACCTCTCTAAATACCTACTCTATTAAGGAACCCTACCTTAGTTAGAACTATTCGTAGCTTAGATTATAATACTTATTCCTTATCGGCTAACCTTCCTTATACTATCCCTTAGAACGCGGGGTGCCTATCCTAACACCCTTATCCGTAACCTAGTTCGTAATAGTCTACTTCTAATTACTAATCCTTATTAGAGTAATATCTATTGAAAATCTAGGTTTTCGGACTACCCCGGGCCGAATATAAAGAAGGGGAAAGTTACCGGGATAAACACCCCGAGGACGTTAAACGATGGTGGGGTAGCCCCTCGGAACTTTTAAGATTATCTAGCGTGCTAGATAAGGAAACTCCTAATCAACACTATCGCGTTTACTGACTACTATTAACTACTCGAAATCTCAGAACTGCAGAGTCAACTAGGTAGGTGATCATTCGGAGCATGCAACTCTCTAAGGAGTCCCTCACAAGAATGGCGTCGATAAAGCTATCTACCGAACTTAGGCTACCTTTGCACATATAGCGACTTCATCGCATCAAGCTCACTGCTGAAGTCGGCCTTTCTGCTAGCAATATCGACGGGAAAGGAAAGATGCTCATGTATCCACTTGAATTTCCCGCCTATCCTGCGAAACATGGCCGTGACCCGGTACGTGAAATCGAATTCGTTTCCATCACTTGTCTTACCCCAATAATGCTGTACCATTGTTGAGTATCCAAAATCATTAGTGACGGCCGTGACCTCTAGATCTTTGTAAGCAATATTTGCTGAGGCAAAATACGGGCCGATCTTGTCGTAAGCTGTGTCGAAGTGTCCGCGGGGGGTGATTCCCATCAAGTCGAAATATAATGTCTCGCTCATGTCGTAACTTTCTTTCCCCTTGTTTGGATCTTTCACGAAGACATGATTGCAATATTGCACCCAGTATTTGTGGTGATCGTAAATTTCTTGTTCGATCTCCAAAAGCGCTGGATCGTGCCACTGTTTATTCTACAGTCACTTCCTGATGGCGTTAAATTTGGTTCAAAGGCCTGCTTTACCTTGCTCGGCTTATAGCTAAGTTCAGCATGTAGAGTAGCCACTTCTGCTGGAAATTCGTTCTGCCAAACCCAAAAGAGTCAGCGGCGTCAACCCTCATACAACGGACTCAATGCTTGCGCAAAATTGACCTGCCTCGTGCTTGAATGCCATGATGTCCTGCTATAGTATGGGACTAATCTTGGTCTATGATCGCAAATTGTAGATAAGCTTGTCCAACTAATTAAATACGTAGAATAGAGGAGTGCTGCTTGGGCAAGACATACTGCACAGTATTGGGTTAAAAGAAAGATAATCAGACCCTCATGGCGCGCCGGACATAAGTGCACCAACTCGGTACGTGACCCCCGAGTCCCTTGATGCTGAACCTCTTGCACCAACCGGAGCATGTGCTCACGGTGGCACTCGGCCGGAGATGTGACCTTCACTGGCCCAATGCCACTGAGGAAATAAGGTGTCATTCTAATTGCTAGCTACGTGTGAAAGTAAGGATATTCTCGCCGGCGCCTTTGCTGCAAAGCTACTAGGGACCTTGCCGAAGACTTCCACGTGAGACAGTTCAAAGTCCAGCCTTACGAGCTTTACACTTGCATGCTAGCGCCAATAATTCGAGCTATCCCCGGAAATTTCAACAACCCTTCTCAGCAATGCTGCCGGAACTTCGGTTAGGTTAAGGTAACTTTCTTTCTGCGCGATACAGCTTCGGCGTCTCTCCATCTTTTTGGGAAACACAGCGAAGCAAGGGATGTCGGTCACGTGACGTTCGCGGGATCATCCCCCTTGATGACGTAGCTACTTGGGCCGCCTGGTAGATTTTCGACCCAACAACGTCTGAAATACTCCAGTAAGTCGGCTGAATTGGCTCAAGCAGCACCCTAGAAAGGCAGGGAGGGCATATGGAAGTAGAGAACTTTGGGTCATGATATCGAGCTTTGCAAAGACTGTTTTGATCATCTCTCACTGCCGGATCCAAAGGAGGTCGTGTTCACGACATTTGAATCGCATATCAGGTAAGAGAAGCAGTTTGTCCGGAATTCCTTCCACCTACTCATGTGCCACCCTTCTAGGACCTTAACAACTTGTTGAAAATTTGCAGACTGATTTATGGGACACATTGGGCGGTGCAGAACTAGCCTTACAAAATCATGATCTATCGGTGGAAGACTCCCATATCTATCATACGGGTTGTCCTGGATATGTTTGAAAGAGAATATGGTGTAAAATTCCTTTCCAAATTGAAGTGAGCCCGGATTGTCTACCTTGTGTAGGGGAAACGGTTGCACCACTTGCCAGTGAGGGATGTCCTCGACTTTGATCTGTCTGGAAACAAAGTACAAGCCCCGGTGTCCACTCGAACACCAAGGAAGATGTGTTCATGGGCTGTCGTATTCCCAAGCAATCTACAGTAATCGCGAATGTGAGACAGGTTATTCCCCTCCTCTCAACGCCGTCGCTGACTGCCTGCGGTAGGGGATATTCATGCTGATCCAAAGAGGCATGAAAATCCTCGGCAGTTCCGCCCGGAACGATATTTCGGCCATATGAGTAGTGTACAAAAAGCTGATACGCCGGCTCAAGTGTCAAAAAGTGACTATATCAGCTGTAAGTGTTCGGGAATGATTCTTCAGCTTGGTTGCGTCAAAGTTACTAAAAATTCATCCCTAATGCAGTCGGAGTCGGTCGACGTCTATGCCCAGGTGAACTTGCCTTGACAAATTGCTGCGAGATGATGAACTAAGAGCCACTCCATGACTCGGCGTTGCAGAGCGTAGCCTTTACCTGGCCACTGCGCGAGTCTGCTGATCATTTAATATAAAGAAGAAGTTCTATACCAATAATCCGGGATTCCATCATCGTAACTCAAGCGTCGGGACGGAAACCTCTTGCGTATTTTCTTCATCGTGCCTTCCCCTTTCTCCCCACACCGAACAAACACAAGCATACGTTGAATCAATTTGCTTGCATCATGCGATTAGTTATACACCTTTAGACTCGGCGTGATCGAGAAATTCATCTAGGAAAAGCCCGCGCCTCTTGATAGTGAGGGTCAGTATGCGGTGACTCCCCAAGGTGGTGCTCGATAAACGATTCTGGTCCTTCACTGGGAGAACGAGCCTCGAAGCAATCTAAATGAAGGAGTATAGGTGTGCCAGTCGCCATATTCAGGCCCTCGGACACTCTGCGAACTTCTCGTATTCCTCTCACGCTGGAATGCCGGCATTGGTGGCTGCCGAACAGCCATTGTCAAGGAAACGGAGTAGAGTAAAGGATGCCTAATCACGGGAAGTTGCTTGGTTATCCGCCACCAATGCGCACGAACGGACAGATACGGCCCCTGAAATCAGGATATGACTCTGAAGCAGATTTCGTGCTCCGGCAAAGGATGGTGTCACCACCAAATAATTTAGCAAACTCTGGAATCATGAGAGAAGGCTTTTGGAGGTAAGAATGCAGACACGACTGAACCAGATCCAGTGTATCCAGGTACGTTGAAAGCCGGGCGCTCTGGACGATGTATTGCGAATCGCGCGCCCTAAGCTCGTTCGGCACGAGGCTCCTCCATTTGACATAATCGATGAACTCTACTTTGAACGGAATACAGGCCAAGTTTGAATCGAACTACCACTCTGAGGCCGGTTCATGGAGAGCGTTCAGGGAAGCTGGTGCCGAGTAGCTGGATTATCTCTGGTAGTATTTACTTAGCGACCGTTCGTGCCCCCGCCAAGCCCGGACAGGCGTGGGGGAACAATCATATCTCCAAAGCTGTGGCGTTTACCATCGCCACTGATCTAGAGGGGTGAGTACTAGATGAAATCGCACTCGACAATGACACGGCTCTGGGCAACAAGTTTGGGACTCGAAAAGCATGTGAAAAACGTTCCCCATCAATCAACACTGGTCGACGAAGTACGCGAGGACTTTGGCGTAGCGTCGAGTCCATACACCACGTATGCCTTGATGTGGTTCAACGAGCGGAAGCAAGTCGGACAGGCTTATGCAAGCGCATGGAGTCGATCCGGCGAGACAAGGATCGAAGGTTCATGCAGCCCAACTCCATGTCTACAGCTGCGGACATAGAAGATGTGTTCGACTGGAAATATCAAAGCTTGGCGATCGTCGACGTGCACTTGATTAGAGCCCTCCCATTGCTGAGAACCTCAACACCTCCAGCACTGGTCCGAAACCTGATATCCTCCCAGCCGTTGGTGAAGTTCCCCGATCTCCAGACCTCGGTCAGTAACATCATCCCCGGCTTCACTGGCGCAGACATCCGAGCCCCATATTCTTTCAGGGTTGACGGATCTGAACCCGCCAACTTTTGCACCAAAAGATGCGCGACACTGTTCCACGTGTACAGCCCATGCATAATGATGCCTCCCAGGCCTATCGCTTCCCCTGGCTCGGGAGTGGCGTGAAGAGGATTGTAGTCGCCGTTCAATCTTTGCAGCTGTGTCAGAGCTGTGGCGAAATCCTCCTTCATGTAGACCAACTCACCGATATAGATGGGCACTCGTTGATCCCACACGCGTCTCATAGACTGCGTCAGGTCGGGACTCTCTGCCGGGTGGGGGAGGGAACAGTTGTGCTCGAAGCCCTTTGGGCCCACCCCATTGACCTTGACCGACGAAAAATCCTGATCCTACAAGTCGAGAATATGCTTTTCCTGTTCCCGCCTCAACGAGGAGATATTCATGCTGCAGCACCGTCCCTTTCTCACCCTTGTCGTAGACTCCGATCACCTTGGAGTGCCACATAAAATCCTGACCTTGAGATGTGGTTGGCAAAGGACAAAGAACTTCGAGACGCCGTTCCCCGTCCAATGCACGAGTGGGGTCCAACTTCGGAATACCTGGAATCACAGCGCTGTCTTGTGCAGCGTAGAAGTCGACTACATCTGTCGCGCCACCTTTGAATTCTAAAATTCATGTCAGTGAGGTATAGCTCCAAGATTCTCTTGCACACGAGTTCGATCGAATGAACTTACGCAGGACAGAAGGGTAGGTTGGAAACAGGGTAAAATCAGGGTGTAGCTCCTAGTTCCACTTCAGAAAAAAAGCACACATGCACCATATTTGGCTTACGTAAAGCAGATTCAGCTCATCCTGGGTTGCACCGATGCTCAGAGCAAATAATATTGCCTCTCGTTTTGTCCAAGAGACCTTGACTGGGGGGTACGAGAACCCAACTCCGGGCGCAAATATCATGACTATCTAGATGCGTCAATTATGGATCGTGAATCGTGATGTCCTGTCGTGGCTACATGTAGGGATCAATAGAGCGAGGTCGCCACCGAGCTATACGCTTTAGGGTCGGAGTCCGGGGCATCTTGCCAATCAGCTGTGTTTGGGTACAGGCAAGTGAATTAACGTCTCCGGTCCGACACAAACTGGACCTGGGAGATGCACATAGGCTCCAAGGTTTTGAGTCCCTGATTTAAAATTCAATTCCCAAATAGCATCACGCTCAAACCACACTTCAACTGAGTCTCCATCAGACATTGAGACCCTGGTTTGACATTGGAATATCCCCCTTGAGTCGGCTTGTCTCGGGCATCCCCCTCCACCATAGCTTCCATCCACATGTCTGAACACTAATTCGCCATCAGAACAACTGCAATTCTCAGCTGCGAACTAGGCGCCACACATGAGCAGTTCAAGGAGTAGTACGAGAGCAAGCATGTTCCACTGGCAAGGAGATCTACGCCTGCTTGGCCGTTACATTCGCAACTATGTGACCGACCGGAGTGCGTTTCCCAATCTCTTAGCAAATCAGATGAATTCTGCGACATCGTCACCGCATCCTGGTTCCGCACCGACGAGGGCTTCCAAGAGTTCGGAGGAAAGCCGCTCTGCCTGAGACGAGGGAGGCAGTTCTTACCGACGAGCTCGATTTCCTGGACTGATGGTACCTAACCATGGTCATTAGACTCCGAGTGTGTAGAAGGGACTCCGAGTGTTTAGAAGGCAGGATGGAAGCTCTCTGTTGATAAAACTCTGCCGCACCACGCAAATATACGTTGGTCAGCTTCTCAGCTTTGTTATGAATCGTCTTGGACATCTATGGACTCCTGAAAGCTTTTTGATATCAGCCACAATACCCTGCTTTAACAGAGCCTCAAGTAGGACAGTATAGTGCTGCTAGACCGCCCACAGACTCATCGGACGTTTTAAAAGATGTGTCGAAGAGATCACTTCTTTCCAGCTACAGATCGCGACTCTTGGTTTTCAACGTAGACGGTTTATTCTGCCCGCTTGCTGTTCTTTCTCCAAGCCCAAGTCCAACGCATATTGCAGGTGAAGAAAATAAAGTCGTTGACATTGTAGAGGATTGGATCTATCCAGACCCAGACGCCTTCCCATGTCGGCCTAACCATCACCATAAGCAGACCCTCTGTGATCTAGACACAGTCCGACGTCGCTAACAATCACTGAAGATTCGTAGGCAATCCAGGCCGTGGTCGATGTGTTCGTTGTAGTCCATATACGTCTGGCCATGCTGTGGGATTAGGTCCATGATAGACAGCGGGAGTGTGATGAAAGTAGGTTCTGTAACTGATTGGATCAATGATCTACCAACAAGTGATAGCATCCACTGACACCACAGCGAAGCTCCCATCACAAGCTTGTGACTGATCGAGTTCACAACTAAGCCAAGTCCATCAGGTAGCGGCAAATACCACAAAGCTGCAATCGCTGCATTCATACAGCATCCTGTGCAGCCACCGACTCTTTCTTAGAATCCGCCGACGCCTGGTGGAACGTTGGCCCTAGATGTTGTACATAGGTCAGAGATGCTGGTAGTAAAGCTTGCCCAGTTGATTGTTCTGCAACAGTTGTCACTAGTAATATGTCATGTTCTGTGTTCTTGGACAGGTCGTCGAGTATCATCTCTTCCTCTTCGGAGTTATGGATGGTCTCCACTAGGTCAGCCAGAAGAATACAATCACGGTAGCGGATCGTAGGAAATACTACAGCTCCAAGCGCCTTCTGGCCTGCTATACGTGCAACTTCTTTATGGGGTTGTTCTGCTTGTCGAGCAAAGCTTACTCAGCTTCTGCTCTTTTGTTTTCATTCCGATCAAGATGCCGTAGGATGAACCTCATTGGGGCCGTCAGCAATGCGCATGATCCTGACCGACGCCCACATATCAGCCAGCAGAGTGTATTGGGAAACTCATTCCCCACCAAAGAACTGTACGGCACAATCGATGACTGCATAAGAGACCTGAGGGACGAAGACTTTGGCTTCGGCAATTCCTTTCATGGCCCCTTTGGCGTTGATATTGTCAATTCACGCCGCCGCGTCAACTCCAAGTAGACGAGCCGTATCATTTTCCATTCGACAGTGCGCATTAGTCTCAAGCATGCTGCCATACTCTCTAAGTACCTTTTCGAAAGGCCTCTTCCTCTGACCGTTTGCCCTACTTGGCACCTAGTCAAGTGCCCTTTCGGATTATATCTATTAGAGATGCTCCTCTTGAGTACTTTACAGAAGTCGGCTGAACTCACGAAACCAAAGCAGCACATTGCGTGGTGGATCCTACCAGGACACTTGCGGACCTGCATAATTTCGAATCCCCTTCCTGGCCCTAGAAGCATATTCGAGGCTGGAACACGTACATTGTCGAGATGGAAGTGGCCGTGATCCAAAAGCGCATCATCATACCCATACATGGAAAACATTCTGGAGACCTTGGGGCTGGCTTTCCGACTGGAACTATAATCTTAGATTGTTGCTTGTACTTGTCGGCGTGATTGGGGTCACTCTCTCCAATGACGATAACAACTTTACAACATAGATCCCCAGCACTGCTGACTAACATTACTAACAACAACTGTTAGTAAATGAAGCATGAGAGATTCTCGGCCTTGGTAGAGGTATAACTACCAATCAATTCAGAAGGTAGTCATCTCCGTACTTGACTGTACTGAGCCGTACATCGGTTGCGTCGCTAGAGGCGACATCCGGCTCCGTCATGACATATATACGGAACGAATCTCACCCCTTAGTAGAGGGTCGATCCATTCCTGCTTCTACGCAGTCGCACTGTATTTGGCAAGGATCTCCATGTTGCTCGGGTCTGACACCGAATCCTTGGTTGCTTATGCCGTCAGCTACTCTGGCCGGAACGAGGAATATCCTGGGGTAGATACTCCTGGGCCTAGAGTCTACCTCCCTAGAGCCTCAGCAATGGAAGCATATTCTAAATTGGCATGCCCAGGCCCCTCGGAGTGCTTCAAGAGAAACTAATTTCATAATCTCAGTTCTTGTGCACGTCGTTTCAGTTGCTCTATCACAGGTGGAGGAGTCCATCGCTTGGCCGGTTCTCCCAGCTGCAAATTGAAGACTCGTTTGGGAGGCACAACTTTATGGGAAGCAGATCAATTGCTTGTAGAGACATAACGGTCGGTATGAACCCACATTCTTCGAGTACAAATTTGTCGACTTTAACAATCTTTTACCCTCTGTGCATTCGGACACGAAGAAGCCGGCATACCGTGTGCAACGTCTGTTTCGCCCGATCGCTGACTTTCATTAAGCAAAGAGCCGGGATTCTGGATGATGCAGCTCTTGTACAGTAACCACGGCCGTCAAAAGATCCAACAACGGAATAAGAAGGGAGTGAAATCGGGGTCAGAATTTTTCCAAGTCTGCGTGCGAAAGCATCAACTATCTCGTCATGAGAGATCTGTCATGGGAATTGTCTCATTCAGGGCTAGTTGGCCGGAAAACCTGCCTATTCTGACCGGACATTGTGGCTGATTTCCTCCGAAGATCCATGGCCCCTGCTGTATTCTCCCTTAGCAAATGACACGACGCTTACTCACCATGTGGGTCTCCGGCTACGTGGGTCGGTGTTAACTATGTCGTCGTAGATGTATCATCTTGTATTTGCAACTCTAGATTCTTCAAGAGGCAGTACGGTCACCAAGGTGCATTCGACATGGCGTTTCCGCAGTTGGTTCCCCCTCGGACTCTCTGGATACCTCAAAACGTCGGTTCTACAAACCTAGATCGTTTTCGAACGACCGTCAATAAAAAAAGAGCCTTAGATCTCAGAGATTACAGAGATGTACATTCATGGTCGACTCAGGCTGACACGGCTTCTGATTTCTGGGTCGAGCTGTTCGAATACCAGAACCTGAAGCCAGGAGCTACCCCAAAACATGCTTTCGATGGCAGCACCAGCGACAAGGTATGCACTTCGTGACAACCCTTGTGGTGTCCCTTGAACACAGCTTATGGTCATCGTAGAGCCTACCAATATTTCCACCACCACATTTCTTCCCAGGTACCACCTTGAACTTTACGGAGCACATTTTCCAGAATAGGATCCCTGGCAGAACGGCTCTCTACTTCGCTAAGGAGGGTTCTACAGACATCGAAAGAATTAGTTGGAATGAGTTGTACACCCAGGTTCAGACAACTGCAGAAGCAATGCGAAACAGTGGAGTGTGCAAAGGCGACAGGGTAGCCGCCGTGATAACAAACTGCCCCGAAGCAATTGTTGCGTGTCTCGCAACGCTCTCGATTGGGGCCATCTTCTCAACCTCGTCACCAGACATGGGGACTCAGGGTATCATGGATCGTCTGCTTCAGATTGAGCCACGTCTGGTCTTCTTTGAGAGCTCAGTCTTCTACAATGGAAAGACCCGCACCTTGATGACCAAAGTTGGGGAATGCATAGCAGCATTAAGTACAGTATTAAATTTTCGGGAAGCTATACTTATTGAACGTGAGGAGCAGCAGCGAGCGCATACACTGCCGTGGACTGTCAGCTGGATGCACTTCAACCGGCGCGCAAATGGTGCGGAGCTGGGATTCGAGCAAGTCCAGTTCCACCATCCTGGCTTTATTGTTTATTCGTCCGGAACGGTGAGTTCTGCTCCCTCGAGTGGTGGAGGTTTTTCTAACCCTCTGAAAGACAGGACCACCAAAGTGCATCGTGCACAGTGCGGCAGTGAGTTTGATCCTCTTCACCTTGAGCAACTCAAATTGATTGTCTACCAGGGGTTGCTGATGAAAGCGAAAGTGGACTACATGATGGGTTTGAACGTGTGCCCGGGGGACACAATCTACCAGTACACTACAGTCCGCCTCTCCTTTAAATATCCGCGGGTAACAATTGACACTCATTAATTATCACAGACTGGATGGATTATGTGGCCATTACTCTTGTGCGGCCTGGCTTACGGCGCAAGCATTGTGCTCTACGACGGGTCTCCCCTCCTCCCGGATCCTTTGGCAACTCTGCAACTAGTGGAGAAGTTGAAGTAAGTTTCAAATATTTTAGTTTTTCCACACAGATTTGTCTGATGTCTTGCAGAGTCACCCTGTTCGGAACTTCGGCTAGATTTTTAACAGATCTCATGATGGCCGGGCTGAAACCACGTGAGCCGACCGTTCTGATTTGAAGGCTTACCTGACAGGGATACGCGCAACAGGAGACTCAATCAATCTTAACTCGTTAAGAACAGTATCGTCCACAGGCTCAGTCCTGGGTGCAGAAGTCTGTGAATGGTTCTACGACCACGGCTTCCCGACCCACGTCCATCTCGTGTCTGGAAGTGGAGGCACTGACGTAGCAGGAGCCCGTAAGACCATCAACTACTTAGCTGACATCCCTCATTTTGCCTGACTTTGACGTCTAGTTCTCACTGGAGATCCTACCTCCGCTGTGTACGCGGGAGAGATCCAGAGACCCGCGCTCGGCATGGCAATTGACGTTCTTGATACTGATGCCAAAACTCCAAAAACGGTCGCTGCGTCAGGGATTGCAGGAGAGCTCGTCTGTCGGTTACCGTTTCCAAGTCAGCCTGTGATGTTCTGGGGTCGAAATGGCAATACACGTTACCGGGAAGCATATTTCGAACAATTCGGGAACGGCATTTGGTACCAAGGAGACTTCGTGTCAATGTCTCCAATTACGGGTGGCTTTTTGATGCTTGGCCGATCGTACGCACCAGTCTTTCTCCGCATGGAAGCTTCTCTTCTGTGATGCAGTCTGCTAATACATCTTCTGCCACTATAGGGACGGGGTGTTAAACCCATCGGGCGTTCGTTTCGGCTCTTCCGAAATCTACGGTGCAATCATGCACATTTGCGAGTTTGAGGAAACGATATGTGTAGGGCAACGCCGACCCCAAGATTTAGACGAGACGGTCATCCTGTTTGTGAAGACCAAAAACAATGTCCCCTTGACTTCAGAATTGGTGGCCAGGACGAAATTGGAGATCTCGTCTGCGCTGACTCCACGCCACGTTCCAAAGTATATTTTCCAGGTGCCGGAGATTCCGTATACTGTCAATGGCAAGAAGATCGAGTTGGCGGTCAAACAGATTGTGTCTGGAAGGCAGATTACGCCGTCGGGTGCAGTCGCCAACCCGGACAGCTTGAAGCTGTATGAGAAGTTCTTTCACCTGGAAGAGGTTCTTCGGACGAACCTTGGTCATCCAGAGAAGCCGCGCTTATAAACGAGCCAAGACGTATTGGTATTTTGTATTCGTCACAACGTTTACTGTTTGGGACATAGGCCTTCTTTATGGTCCATGAACACTAAGCCCGAATGCTCCCACCGGTCTACTCTGAAACGGGGCATCGCGGGTTGTGATAAGGGGTTCTGATGTACAATGGTCCCTTCCAGCAGAACTGACGTTAGGCACTATTTACTGATCTCCTACGTGGCGCTCAGTGGTCGCTGAAAAATCTAATACTCAAAGCTCACACAGGCCGTGTTATTTATGCTCCCATATAATACTGCTCCCTTTATCCAGTGTGTCAGAACGCGACCAATTCAACTCTCAATCTCCACAGCCCTTTTGTCACGTTTGAGTCAAGTTGACGTCTATCCCTTGGGTGTCGAGTAGGTACTGAAGACGGTTCTCCAGGCCTCGGCAAATTCACGCATGATAGTTTGGTCCTTGCTTCAAATCGAGGCCTGAAGTCGCATGCAAATGGTAAAGGACCCATCGTCAACCCATCCGCGTAGCCAGTTTCGCTGCCAGGATCGACCTCAATTTGTTTCCCTTGCTCATCAAATGCCCAGAGGATTTTGGCGTCAACAAAGGGACCACGTTCGGCCAGATGAATGCCCAGACAGAGCCGTCGCCACACTCAGTAGCTGTAATAACTTGGCAACTCGGGATCAGGTTGCTGCGCATAATCATCTGCCAGGCTTGTTTGGTGGGGATATCGCCCTGAAATGAAGGTATGCTGGTCTGGAAACCTCGTCTCGTCACAGATGAATTCCATGAATATTGACAATAATGTCAGCCCTTGTGAGGATGGATTTTCCGTCCAACCACGTGTCTGAAGCACTGTCAGTATCCGAGTCGACTGAGTAGATCGTAAAACCTGCTGAGCGCATTGCGAAACACGATCCGAGCCACAGGTCTAATATTTTGATTTCCTTGATGATTGCATTCACTTTTGCTTATCACGGAAGTCTGCAAAGACAGTCTCTCCTACCATGCCGTCGATCTCCTTCTGAGCCTGTATTGCCCATTCTTGATAGTGATCAGATTGAAAAAGTAATTTACCCCTGGTCCGATGGCGCCCGATCGTGTCCGATCCAGCCTCTAGTAATTCTGGCGGTACTTGTAATGCCTTAGCCAGATGTCCCGTCACTTAGAAAGTGAAAACTTACCGACTAGACACGCTCTTGACTTACGGTCTCTTCGCGTGAGCGATACGGCCCCGAGCAATATCAGCAGCCCAATTGCCAACAAGGGCAATCTATGCCCAGCATTAAAGGCGTTCCAGAAATTGCAGCAGTGACGCTGGCCATGATGGCCCGTAACTGCACCATTCTGGTCACGCCAGTTGTAGGTACAGCGTGCAGATTGTCGTCCGTGTGAACTGCGAGCACAAATATCTTATTCAGTCGGAGGATTCTAGCCCGATTGCTAATGAAACATCACGCAAGCTAGGTTTGTCCTCCGGTGGCGAAATGCTTTCAAGTGGACGAAGCACAGAACTGCCGTAGCAATGGTCAGCTCAACCCCAGAGCCGGGGGGCGGGTCAGGGGAAGTTTGTTAAAATGAACCTTAAAATAATGCTTGTACCAGAACCTGCTATACATACATGTCTGCGACGAGCACCAGCATCGAAAGATGATTACGACATCTTGTGGTCTGCGTCGAGAGTTCGGACGACTGTTCTAAGACCGAAATCCTTCTCGGGTGCACCACTTCATGAATCTTCGAAATAACTGCTAGATCAGGGTCCGCATTCAGTACTAGTGCCTGGGTCCTTGCGTGTCCATCAGCGTGAGTCCACATCGCGTATTGTTTCCTCTCCGCAACTGAAACGTCAACCGTGTTGCTTGGTCGCTCGGTTTCTAGGAATCTACTTATTTGTAATTGTAGTAAAAAGCAATCAAAGAGATACTCTTGGCGAATTGGCCCTGACTGTCTTGTTGACGAGGTAAGCCTGTTCTCGTCCGAGCACGAGTATACAATCTTCGCGAATTGAGTGTGGCAATCAACGTCGTCGCACAGTCATACATCGAGGACTTCACAAAAACCCACTTATGGCAGACTTCATAATGTCCTCCAAGCATCCATCTGAATGCCGGAACAGGTCGGTAAACTTCACTCCAGGGTGGAGAGCATATGACTTGACATTGTGCTTGTGGGTAAGCCAATAATTTAGCTAGAGCGAGAAGAGCTGTTTTGGATTGGTCATGGCTACATTGAGGCTAATCTAGTCAGACCAGCCGATATAAACCCTCGGGGGACGCCGTGGAGCCAGCACTTACTTGTATCGTTCGCTCGAATTGAGACCATACATAGCCAATACAGCGTGGTCCAGGAGCTCTCCTGGGCTTAGCTCGACCTTCTCTTTCTCGAAATTTGCGTCCGAAAATTGAAAAGAAGAGTTGTGCATGGCCAAAGGCAATACATTGTTCACCCTCGTCGAGCCTGGAAATGACATCTTACCCGACGCCTTCACTTTCTCGATGGCCAAGTTGACAAAGAAGATCTTCCCAGGGTTATTGGTGGCGATTGGCATCTCGACACTATCGGTGAAAAGTTGGCGGGTGGATATTGACTGACTCCAGCATTGAATATCACAATATCGATGTTCTCAACATCCGCACGCGCCATGACTGCTGCCTCAAATTGCATAAATTTCTCCAGAGAAGCGAGATCAAGCTGCTAGTAGTGGAATGAAGTGTTTGCATATTGAGTTGCCAACTCGTTCGTTAATCACCTCCTGCACCCTGGTATGAGAACGGCCTGTGAGAATGAGTAACCTAGGGTGCTGAGCAGTCTATGCCTTTGGAGTAGTCATTCCTAGTTCACTGTGTGCCACACCGGTGATGGTGGTCGTTTTGCCACCGACGCTGTCCGCGAAAGCACGACTAACCGTCTTTCCGTCTGTCTCCTCCCCAAACCCTGCCCGTGACGCCATGTTCAAGCACCAATGATCGATATATTAAGGCGGAAGCGATCAACTATCAAACCTGCAGGAATATTCAAATAGAGCTTTGCATCCATATATTGCGTTATCCAGGCGAATTGTCTCTCAGAATAGTCTGGTGGACCTTCGAGCTAAAATCCGGGATCCTCACACCTCTTGATGAGGATTCCGGCTTACAGAAAAGCCCGCTCCAGATAGGATCGTCAGCCATAAATATTATGAGTAACTAACGATTTCTCCCTCATGTAGTCTAGGCAGCAGACCTTTGATGTGACCTTTGCAGAGTATACTGATGCCATCAATCGCGCATTTTGGTTGTTGGAAGAAACGCCGGGGAAAAGTACTTCGTTGGACACTCTATCCTACTCAATTATCGCAATCGCAGAAGTTAAAACCGGTCAACTAGCGGTTTGGTCATCGCTCAGGAACAGGACGAAGATCACACCAACTTAGTTAAAGCTACGCAATGCAAGTACTTTCTGACGCTGGCAGCCTTGCTTGCTGAAGGTGCGCCTATCGTTGAGAAACTACAAATTCGTCATGTTGTCGTTCCTGGACAAGATGTATAGGCTGAGCGAATTGCGGGGTACTCTCTAGACAAGAAAAACGAAGATGTACGACCCCGTCTTGGTTATTTACACCTCTGGGACTTCCGTATGACCGTATGTATCTGTGAAAATGACGGCTTAGCTAGCATTCATTCATCCTTAGTTTCTCTAAGCCTCTCACCCTCGCTTACGAATCATTATCCCTCATCCATCTATTAAGCAAGGGCCCATACGATGAAAGGGAAGAGTCAAAATTATCATCCAATTTCTCTGTGAGCATTCTGGTAGACTACTGTGTCCATTCGCTATGGCTCACGCAAGTATACTCTCTTTATCAGAGCCTAGTGGATTAAGGCAATTGGACTGATCAAGACATAGGGTTCGAGGATTTTGCTTTTCCTGATTGTTTACTATACTTTAAGAGCATCCCACTAATCCCAGAGTTGGCTGATGAGGGCCATCGCAGTGGGGGGGTCTCCGCGATTTTCCTACCTGGGTCCATCATGGACGGAATCTCCAAGGTCCCCGAGTTTCTGGACACTCTCTCAAAGTTGCGGTTTATCATCATCAGTTCTGCTCGTTTACCTTTGCCTGTTGTCGATATAGTCAAGCACAAGCAAGGCTGGTCAACATCCACCGTCAAACAGAGACTGGATTTCACTATGCGCACGTACCTAAGCCCGAGCACACATATATGTTCGGATGGCGCCTGTGTGGAACGTCGAATATAACCACTAGAAAGACGGACTGTATAAGTCTGTCGTGAAGCGCAGTGAAAACTGTTTGAACGCTCAAGGGGCATTCTTATCGCAACCTGACGCTCTCGACCTTTGAACTAATGACCTATTCACGGAGACTTCCAGGCCCGGCGAAATCGGACCACTGGCTGAAGCGCGGAAGGTTAGACGATGTCTTTGTCTTTGAGAACAGAGAAAACACCATCCCTGTAACGATGGAGGATATCATTGCAATGCATCCAAAAATACACGCTGCAATGATAATCGGAGTTGGCCGAATCCAGGCTTCCCTGATGATCGAACCCAGAGGGCCATCCCTAACCGGCGACGCTGAAAGGCAAGAACTCATAGATGAGATTTGTCGAACCACCGGACTTGCCAATAATATTGAACTGGGGTGAAGATAACGATGCCTTTCTCGCCTCCGGCATAGACTCGCTGCAAGTGCTGGAAATCTCCCGGAGATTAAGATCTTCCCCTTGGAATGATCTAGCTACCTTCAAAATGATTCAACCCTCCTCGATATAAGCTCACCCGTCGGTGTCCTAGCCCACGGGTGCCATTTGCTCTCTGGCAAAGCAGCACAGAGCGGTAATGCCGCCAACTTGAGGATCAGCGAGATGAAGTGCTTTGGAGCAGTACTCCCACAGAGACCGCCTTGGCGGCATCACAGATATATTTCGTGGTAACTGGTACCACTGGTGAACTAGGTTCCAAATTGCCGCTTATCTGAGCTCAGAGCCATCAGTCCACTATATTTACTGTTTGAACTGTTCGCGAGATGCGGCAGCCAGCCAAGTGAAGATGTACGCCTTCCATAGCTCCTTTACATTCTTCGATCCGACGTGAATTGCATTTTTGCGAAGCGGCTTCTCCAAACCCGACCTGGGACTAGGATATACTGCTTACATGCAAATGGTTAGGACTACAACACACATCATACACAATGCGTGGACGTTTGAATGAAAGTCATTACTATCGTCTTTATCCAAGGCTAACCTGGCCCGCGGTCGTCATCTCAGTGTCTTTAATAGTGCCACGCCACTTCGCGTTCGATTGGCATTCATGTCCAGCCCCGAAACAGTCAATCAATGGACGGCAGCCAGAAAAAAAATCCACGGTCCCAGAGAAACTAATTTCAAATTCTACGGTCGTCAAACCATGGGCTGTGCCGAGTACAAGTGCGTGGTTGAGCATTTGCTAGGTGCCGCCCAAGCAAAATCTGGTCTTGCAGGCATACGTCCTGCGTATCGGAAAAACCACCGGCGCCGTGGAATCGACAAAGGGCGAATGGACCGTGAACGAATGGTTTCCACGCGTCGTCAGAAGTTCTCAGTTCCGGAGGATTGTACCGAAGGACGTGGGCTCCTTTAAAAAGATAGATTGGATCCCTGTAGATAAATTGGCTCAGAAGCATCCTCAAGCTCGTCGAGGCTCTTTCCCAGGTAGGCGAGCTGAAGGTCTTCAACGTCTGCTGCCCCTTCGGTGATAACCTTGGGAAGAGTGCAGCCCAACGCTCTCTATTAGTATCCGGTGTTCAGGTCCAGGGCATTGACTACCCCGAATGGGTCCAGGATCTCCGCAAATCGCTGGCCAGCACAGTAGCAGCAGAACGTGTGGCCAGGAATTCTTGCTGTTGAGCTTATTGACTTTTTGGAACAGTTGTGGAGGGCAGCCGGGAAGGACAGAGCGGCGATATCAACACGGGAGGCTCAAAGACCAGCCCATCGCTGAGACTTTGTGGCCCGATCAAGCCAAAATGAATAAAGCTGTACTCGCTAAAGTGGGGGGAATCATCCAACCCAGAACGGCACTGAGAGCGTCAAGCATGCTTGAAGGAGTAGGGAAGGTGGGATGCACAATTCGCTGCGCAAGGCCTGTTACCCTTAAACAGCCTAAAAAAGTTAACCAGATATACTCGATTGAAGTCTCGGAGCCAAGGCGAGTTAAGTCAGAAGTAGTCATGCTGATCTTCGAAATCACCCCCGAGACTTCCAGATTATGTATCCTTCTATCGTGCCATCTGTCTAGGTGATGGGCACACCTCGTAAAGCGCTGGTGCTCAGTCAGCACCTTGATACCCGAGTCGTCTATGAGAGTCCAATATCATCCTATGCCCGCATATGAGTTGTTTCTTCCGAAACCACGAGTTGGTCCAAGGAAGCTTACCAACAGTTTGTAATTCGGCACAATATCTAGAGGACCTACGCAGTCTAAAGCATGCTAGCTGGGCACCCGGTTAGTACAGCTCGCATTGAAAAAACAGCGGAGCTGATTGAGTGGCCAGGATGTCTCGGTGGCAAAAGGACATACTCTTGGAAATTGGGTGAGCTGGTTAGAGGAAACCTGCGGTAGTACTTTACGGAGAGAAATCAAAACGGACAGTTGAATCCGTCTGAGTCGCAGTTCCAATACTTGCCTGCTTTCTCCAGGCAAAGAGAGTAATTCCCACGTTACATATAAATCAATGAAGTAGAATTAAATGCTCTCTTTCCTGGATGCAAAAATCGACAATCACACGATGTTTTGTCGAGGAAAGTAGAGCCCGGTGTGTCACAACGAAAACACTTAAGATAAGGTTTGTCGGGCTTGGAGATACCACGTACTTCAAATTTGGCCGACAGCAGGGTCCTATCTGCGAGACTGTACTGAACCACCTTTGCTGCTGAGTCGAGGAGCTTTGCTTCAAGGCTCTCCGAAGGCAAGCGGACAGCTTAAATGCCAATCCAGCTCGGCAAAGCTAGAGTGTGCTGTTCGTTCCAACGCTACAAACTCGTTTCTATGGTGGTAACAACGGTGGCAATCAGCGTGAACACAAACTTAATCCCTCTTAGACGTTTTGCAAAAAGTTTAATGTTTTGTCAGTGTCAGCGCCATCGACCCCGAGGACATTTAGTCGAGACCCATGCATGGATTCCCTTGCGTAGATATCACATAGGTATATTGGCACAGCCAAAAATAGCCAGCCCGCTCTTCTCATTGTTAATAGACCCGAATATGTCCGCGTTTTAGTGCATGCTGGCCCACGAGTCCATTGGCAGATCTTCGACTGGGACTTGGTCCATGAGACTGCCAGCACGGTCTGGAAGGTATCCCGAGGAATGTTTGACTTTGCATGTCGACAACTCGCGAAGGTGTTCCGTTATTGGTGTCGGCTGGCACTTCAACCTAATGAAAGCTTCATATAGCATGAATTGTCGAACTTACGCTACGGCCTTAGCAAAGTGCTCTCCAAACACGACCCATGGGCTTACTGGTAGAGAATGTCCAACTTGTATACATCTACTTTTTCACTACCAGAGGTGTTTAACAGGAGAAACTCTCTCAAGAAAAGGTCAAAATCGACCTCCCAACTTTTGAACCCTGCTTCCATAAGAGTAACAAGTTGTATGTTGTCCATCGTGTAGTCAGGTTTCTTTGTACCCTTCCAGCTAGGATCAAAGACGCCTGGTGTGGACCTCGAGAACGTTTCTCATGCTTCGAGACAAATGAGTCAGGAGTACAAACAATTTGGCATTCTTGACGTCGACCTTGGGTGTCATCATCGACGGCGACTCGAAATTCGCGTCAAACCCCCACACCTGGAGCGATCTTTTGGGATTGATGTTGAAGCATCTCTATGGACGCCTCAGGCCAGCCGACACTACTCAGTTCCTGACAATGCAGCACCACCAGATCGCAGCATAGTATTTCCCGTGGCTGATGAGAAGGGGCGGTGGGTAGTGTGTTAAAAAGCTTCGTCAATCCAGTAGAAAGTGATCTCTTTGTGGCCATCGTACGGTCACCAGAACGACAAGATCAGCGGCTCTGGTGCAAGGTGTCTTGGCATTGGTACTTCGACGGGTACGCATGATAGGCAGCCTGAGCCGCTGCGAAAGATGCTTTCTAGGCTTCGGGTATGGAATCATACGGGTTGCGCAGAAGCTTGGATTCGCTGGCGTTCCCCAAGCTGGAGAAAATGTTGGCTTTGAGGACAAGATGTTGAGGGTCTTGGGAAGCCACTTTCCTCCATCGATGATACCAGAACTAAAACTTGGATGTTTTAACAACAGGGCATAGGACTTTTGTTGTCTCAAAGTAGAGGTCGATCAGCTCCAGCTCCAAGTCGTGAGGCAGTTCAAAGTCGGCCATACGGCCTCAGTTAGTGCCACCTTTGCCTTAGGTGAGGTTTCGCGATTCTGTCGGGACCTTGGCTCAGCGTGAGAGTCTTGTACAGATAACGGAGAGGGCTAGAGACACCCTAACGCAGCTAATACATTCTCCAACCAGGCTAAAAACTCTGATCAGTGATGCCTCAACCAACTAAAACCGGTGAGCGATACCTGAATAAAGTAGTATATCTTCGAGCTCGCTCAGTCCTTCTATCGGTTTTGCGATGGATGATGTGGGTTGTCATTGCCCGCAGTGCCCGAGTCGCGCAGGGCTGGAGATGGTGATATCAGCGGATTGAATCTATGACTAGTGACTATGAGTTCTTCTTCGAGACGATCCACACGTTTGTCGAAATTGAAAAGACTTGTGGTCGACGCATGCCCTAAGGTAAAGCCCAGCAATGGTGGGGAAAGTGCTTCAGGTGAAGCGGCCCATCGCAAATTATGGATTCGAAGCAACCGCGCGCCTCGTGGACTAGCTTTCAAGAATTATTCCCATCGAGTCCCGCCTCTGAATGAAGAAAGGCTATGTAGATTTCATCCGGACAGAAAGGGATACGAGAGTGGGGCGAAAAGCAAGGTTCGAGGGGTTCAATTAGCCAATGTCGAGCCGGTGTGACTGCTGCACTCACTTAGCAACGCGATAGTTCATTGGACATTCGAAGGGCTCTGGCCTGATACGTATGCGTGGAAAACGCTACTTCGCAGTCAACAATGTAACAAGCTTCGAGAGTCACGGAATGCATGAGATATCCGATTATAGCTCACCAAATCTTAAATTTAATGCTTGGTTCTCTGCAATATGCTATCTTCTAGATGAACGCTAGCAGGAGGCAAACAACTAGATAAGGTCCTCCAACACGATGAAGAGACCACGAATATTGGTTGTGCCCGCGATTGCTTCAACAGTCCTTTGTGTACGTCCTCTCCTCAATTTGCTTTCAACGCCAGGACAAGAGGGGCCGAATCCTAAACGTGACGATTAATGCCGAAGGCTGAAGAAAGCAGGACTACACTCACCGCCCAGATCGAGTATAACTTCAACTTTGGTGTCGAGGCCTGTACATCCGCAATAACGCACCGGCCCGTAAATTCGCCTTCAACACGCATGCCGTTCTTGAGATCCATTTCGACGTAGGCGAGAAATAGCAGATCACTTCCGCTCTCGTCATGTGAGTAGACCCTAAGTACTTTGTGCTTTCATCCGGCGAACAGGGTCCTTGCGTTATCCCGACTCTTGCGAATCTCTAACTCCAATATTAGCATCCGGGAAGGAGAAACACACGCGTCCACTACTCACGATATTGTCCTTCAAAGGCATGCAGGCCAAATTGAGCTTTCGCATCCACAGCAAATACTTCCTCTGCCAGCATATCACCAACATTTGAGCTGGTGCTGTCCAACAGGTTAAAGAATCTGTCAATCAGTGCCTGTACCGACTGTGAAGGTGGGAGTGAAGGCCAATCCGTCGACGCCGTGTTATAGCCCATACTTGTTGCCTTCGTGGGTTTATGGTGGGTTCAACTAGGTTTCGTCCCCGTATGGCAGAGTATAGTTTTAAAACGGTGGACTGTTTAACCACTAAAAGAATAACTTATAGATATGGGGCGTACCGGAGAGTGTCGGACGATCTTCCCCGGAACTTCTCCGACTTAATTACGTCCCAGGTTAATCGTCTACACTACTAGAGTAGAGTCTCGGACAAACTAATTATATATTCTCACAATGTTTCGGCCGGGTATTCGCTAGCTATAGCCATAATCTACTTATTTATAAAGGCGTTAAATAATAAGTTAGATATCTTAATTTATCCGAGATCCTATTATATTATTATTTATTATAACTACTAGATATATAATACTAGATAATTAAAGATTTTCTATATACTTCTATAAAATACCTTATTAATAAATTAGTTAACTTAATTTCTAGCTAATATACTAACTTTTTATAGATTAAATAACTCGCTAGTCTAGGAGAAATTAAACTAGGCCGGCGGGTAGATATTACGAACTAGGTTACTTAAAAGGTTACTAAGGGAATTAAGGCACCTACCTAGGGAAGGAAGTTAGCCGATAGAGAACGAGGCTATATTACGTAACTAGAGAAGGCTAGATTCCCTGGATCCCTTAGATCTTATAGAATCTTAAGAGATCTAGGGGGAGCTATAAGATCGAGGAGAGCTACTAGTAATATATATATACGCTTACTACCCTCGTTAAGATAGATTATAGTTAACTTCGTTAGTAATTCTATATCTATATTTTAGGATATAGTCCGAGGATTAAATATTCCCTTTATTATCCTAGTTAATACTTTTATAGCTACTCTATTAAGGAATCCTACCTTAGTTAGAACTACTTATAGCTAGGATTATAATACTTTAAGTACTTCTTAATTAATATAAGATATTTAACGTTAGAACCTCTCGAGTTAAGTCTCCGATACTAAGTACTAAACTATTAGGTATTAAGACTAAGCGATACCCTATTAACGCCTAGTTACGTAATTAGGCTTATATAAGCTAGGATTACGTGGTATCTATTTGGCAAGGCTATACTTAAGCCTTACGGAAGATTCTATAAAACGCCATTCCATTCTATAGGATTAGAAATTACTCAACTTAATTTCTAAGCATCCTAGGAGTTAACTCGTATTTACGAATACTCGGTAATTACTCTCGTACTTACGAGATATTATGACGAAGCCTACGCCTATATAAAATAGGCCTATACTCCTTTACTTAGATAGATCTTAAGTCATTCAATAAGATAGAAAGCGACTATATATTCTACTCCTTCTTTCTACGATCTTCGGCTACTTCTACTATAGATCCTAAACCTTATCCCCCGGATATTAGGTAGCCTTAGTAATACTTTAAAGTTTAATATTATTAGGAACGCCGACGATAACGTAGTAATATATAATATACTTAATATAGTCGGAAGAGCCTTAGTATTATAATCCGAGCTATAAGTAGTTCTAACTAAGGTAGGATTCCTTAATAGAGTAGGTACTAGAGTATTAACTAAGATAATAAAGGAAATATATAATTATCGAACTATATCCTAAAACGTAGATATAGAATTACTAACGAAGTTAACTACGAACTATACTATCTAGGTAAAGAAGCGTATATATATAATATTAGCCTAGACTATAGACTTACCTAGACTATCTTTATATTTTATAGTTCTTTATAGTCTATACTTCTAGTTATATAACGTAGCCTCGTTCTCTATCGACTAACTTTTCTATTTTCTTTAGATATAGATAGCTTATCCTTAGCGACTATTCTAGTAACTTAGTTTATAATACTATTCCTTCCTCTTCTTATTCGTTACTCTTAATATATATAAAGTAAGTATTATTCGTTTAAAGCGGTTTATTTCTTCCTTCCTTTTTATAACTAACTATACTTCCTAAAGCCTTTCTCTTTAAGCTTAAGTAACTTCGATATCTTACTACTAAAATTAAACTTTTCGATTTTAGTTTCGAAACTATAGCTTCTTATCCTTAATACGTTAAAGTATATAAGGTATATATTATTCGTAAGAATTACTCTCGTTATTTCGTCTATATATAGAAGAATATTATATATAGTAGTACTTTTTCGAATATTAAGTTTAATTATCTAGAAAATAAGAAGTATAAATTATACGAAAAGAACGAGAAGCTACGCTAGAAACTAGCTAGCCTAGCTCGCCGTATCCTTACCACTTAAACTAAGTAGTCTAAGGTAGAAGTTTATCTCGAAAAAATTACTAAGAAATAAAGTAAAATAGTTAACCGAAAAGCGTAGCTTTTTAGAGAGTTAGCGGACGACGGCCCTAGTAAATTTAACTTTATCGTAATAACTAATAATTTCTTAATAGAAGAATCTTTCTAGTTAGATTATATCGTTAGTAATACTAGATAATAAGTCTCGAATTAAGGTTTATCTTAAGTTTCTAAGTATTTTCTTCTTCTAGATATTCTAACTATTTAACTAGATATCTTACTTAGTTATTTTCTTATCTATATTAAAATATAGTTTCTATATTATAAAATAGTTCTTACGTTTCTATATCGATATATACTAGTCTTAGTCTATCCTTAACTAATACTTTCTCTAGTAGTAATTTATAGAATACTAGGTATATATTTAGTTTTCCTAGTAAATATAGTTTATAAAAGACTAGTTCTAATATTTTCTTAATTCGGTATAGTCTAATTTTTATATAATCTAGTTTTTTACTTAGCCTTTATATTTTTATATTTTTTATATTAATATAAACTATTTCTCTCCTCTAGAAGTCTAGTTCCTTAGACCTTTTTTTATTTACTATTTTCGTAGTTATTTTTAATATTTTATCTAATTTTATTTTTAGTAGAAAATATAACTTATATAAGTCTTCGACTTTTATTCTTACCTTTTCCGCTATAGGTCTATCTTCTAATAGTTCTTTCTTAAAGTCTAAATACTTTTCGTAATTCGTAAAGAATAGTAATATTTCGGTTATTAATATATTATTATTAAAAGCGAATTAAGCTATTAGTAGTAGCTCGACCTAATTATTTTACTAGTAATCTATTACGAGTTAAACTCGTATAAAGCTCTAGAGTACGCCCTAGAGCGACTACTCGTAGTATACCTTTAGGCTATATAACTATATAGCCGAAGCTACGTAACTCCTCCCTATCGATTATCTCCTAGGAAACTATACTAACCTACTATAGGAGAAGATAGAAAGTATTTCCTTTATTCGTATAGTAGATAGATTTTCTCTTTTCTTTTTCCTCCTTAGCTTTAGAATCCTCGTTATATAGTAGTTAGACGAATTACTCTAAATTTCTAGCTAAACCCTTATATTATTCTAAAGCTTACTATTATACGTAGCGAAAGAGTATCGTATACGAAATAGATAATAGTTAGTAACTAACGGAAACCGCTCTAGTGTAGGCGGTAGAGCTATACTAGCTCTTATAGACTTAAAATTAAAAAATAATAGTACTCGAGAATTAACTCGACTAATAGAATAGAATATAAACTCGTACGCCTAAAGTAACGACTTCTACGACGGCGAGCGCTATATAGAAATTCGATTCTATACGACGAAAGGTTAAACTTCCTAAGCTAGCTAAATTTAATAGAAAAAGGTTAGAATTTCGGCTATAGCTTACCTAAGCTCGAGCTAAGTTAACGGTTAATAAGTAAGAAGAAATCGAAGCCGTACGATTTTAGTATTTCTATAGTAGACTAAGGAGCTACGTCCTTACTTAAGTTAGTTCGTAGGTTAATTTCGTATAATTAACCCTCGAAATAAATACGAAAGAACTTATTAGTTAATTAAAGGCGGCGTACGAAGATATCGACGCTATAGAGAAAGTATTACGAAAGCTTTCTTAACTAAAGTAGAACGAAAGGTCCTTTAACGTATTTCTCGTCGAGTTTAATTATACGCTACTCGAGGCCGACGAACTAGACTAGGCCGATTCGATAAAGAAGATATTTATATTAAACTACCTTTCGTACGACTTAAAGAGCGCCCTCGTTATAACGCTAATTCTATTAATCTATAGAAAGTACTATACTTTCCTCTATACGATTAATATAAATCTAGAGGCTCTTCGATAGAAGAAAGCTAGAGAAAAGTCGTCTAGGAGTAATTCGTTCGGTACTATAAATCGTATAAAAGATAAGATAGATTAAACGCTAACTATATAAGCTATAGCGTCCTCGATAGGACTATAGAGAACTTTATAGGTATCGTAAACGATACTTAACTAGAAAAAGGAGCTCGAAGCGTATCTTCGCTACGACTAACGAAGTTACTTTATCGTTAAATATCTTCTCCTTCTCGTTATACGACCTAAGACGAAGAGGAGGGTAGTAGTAGTAGAGACTATAGACGAAGACGAGGAACTATTAAAAGAATAGCTCCTACTAGAAGTCGTCGATAGAAGCGTACGAAGAAGACGAAGAAGAAATAGAAGGCTTTCTAGTCCTCGATAGAGGATTAACCCTTTATAGTTTTATTACTTTTAGATAAGTAATATTATATATTGATTTTAATTAATTCTAGTTATTTATCGTACGATTTAATTAACTTTCGCTTCGCTTCTCGCTATTTTTTCGAGCGTATTTCTATTACTTCTTATTCGATCTTCGAATTCGATTCTTTTATATAATCTAAAATTTCTAAAGTAGTAAAGGTTAAAGTCGATATCGATAGCTATAAGGAAATAGTATTCTTCTATATTATTCTAAACTTAGTATATAAAATTATTTTTAAGTTACTCTAGATAAAGAAGAATAGTATATATCTTAATATCGCGAATAACTTTCTCTTAATAGGCTATTTCGATCTAGAAGTCTATAATATACTATAGAAACTTCGTACGCCCTTAGACTATAGCTAAGTCTTCGTCGTAGTATTCGGTCTACTAGCTTAAAAAAGTAAGAAGCGTACGAAAATCTAAGTATTCTCGACGACGATAGCGAATATTA